ATTTTATTTTGAACTTCTTCAAATAACTATTGAATCATTGGAGGTAAGAGATCAAGCAGACCTCCGAATCCTTCATATGTGAAGCCAGTTGAAACGACTATGGTTCCATTCGAAGCTAACAAAAGACAAATCAAAAAATAATCAAATTTTTCTTGAACAAACATCAACTGACATCAAAAATTCAAAGAATCAGATCATTAAAAAATATATAATTTTCAATTGGAAACTTTTTGGCTCAAGTAACAAACAGGTGCTTCACGGGATTATGTTTCCCCAAAACAAGAAGAAAAGCTACAGTTATACCGTTTTCCTAAGCTATGGAAAAACTGAATGCACCATTCTTAGACCAAATTCTCTGCTAAATGTGCTGACTAAAGTTGTATAAATGAAAATTAAACAAAACAACAACCAAATTCTTGGCTTTAAATGCTCTATTTAAAAAAAGCCAATTTGGATACCTAAATAAAAAGTTCGGATAATCTAATTGTTGCAATATCGGAGGTTGTAGATATCATAAGAGAATTAATGGCCTCTTAAAGAGGACCTGCTAAAGTTTATATTGACCTTCCGAAAGCTTTAAAGATTTCAGAGGACAAGTGTTAAAAATTTTATTATCTGTTTTGACTGACATAAACCAAAATTTGTGATTAAGGAGAGTAACTAGTTCGAAGCAAAATTTGGTTAACTGCGAAGTACCAGAGGGAGCATTTTCAGTATCATTATGATTCATTTCGTGTTTTTATGACCAGCCTAAGGTATGTCAGCACAGTAAACTTTAAATGTTTGCCGACGACTTATCTTCGCATGGTCAAGTATCTCCTTTAAAAAAGCAGATGAACAAAAAACCTAAAAAGTGTGCAATTGTTTCGATGAAAAAGATGACCTTAATTAAAATAATGTAAGAAATTGTAAAAATTTACAGGCGACGAGCGATGTGAGCTATTTATTCAGAATTCGAAAACTTGAAAAACAGAAAGAAAACAAGTAATTTGGCGTTTAGTTGGATAAAAAGTAACCATCAAAACCGAAGCAAATAGCAGGACAGATGTATCAAAAAAAATTACTCTCAAAACTATGTTGCGTCTATACAGTGCGTATATTCAGTCAGTAATACGTATGAAGTTTTAATCAATAGCGCTTCTACAAAAACTGATCTGAAAACCATATTTGTAACAAAAAAAAGCGTGCGCGAGTAACGGTGTCGATATTAATTTGACTCAGTCAAGGAAAAATATGTTTTTGAATTGATCATAACTCTCAGTAAATTTTCAGGAAAACGCATACAGCTGAAAAACTGAACAGACTCTAATCAATTCCTCAAATCAAAAATACAATTATTAAAATGAGTCGGAGTAAAAAAATGAAAACACAGAAACTACAAGTTGATGAACCTGAAAAATGAAAGCAAGCAGATTAAGAACACTACTCAGCATGCTTCGACAATCCTTTAATAATTTTTTGTAGCTTCGATGGATTGTAAATCAGGATGACTGAACTGATTTGTGCCTTGACTCAACTGAGATCGTCAAAATTTGGGATTATATTAACCTCTTCGACTATCTCGACAGAACAAAAAAAGCGTACTTTTTTTGTTTTGACCGAGTTCAACCTAATTTAAGTATGTCTAAAAACACTTAACCCGGTTTGCTCTCAGAGGTCGAATACTTTTGAAGGCCTGGTAAAAACGAGTTTATCTCAGCATTTCTTTTGTTCTGACCACCCATATCACAAAGTGGCTGACTGAAAACCATTATGGGACAGTCTGTTTTTTTAGCTTGAGGAAAATTGGTAGAACCTGAAGTCAGCTATCATTTGTATTTATTGGCTATAGACAATTCATATGATAATCGAGGTTAGCAGGTTGCTGTTTAAGTTGCACGTGACAGAATGTTCCGACCATATTCACAAAAAAGTTCTGAAGCAACTTTGTTTTTCTTTTTTTCCCGATTGTCGTCGTTTTTAAGCGTGTGACAAAATTATATAATTGCTTGTAGAACGTTAATGAATGATGCATAATCAAACACAGACGTTTTGAAAACGTTAAAATTATATCAGATATCAGAACAATTTTTTCAGATTATAATTATCTTTTTCACAGAATAGTTTCTTGATCTTTTAAACATTTTTTTTTTTCAAATAGACACGAAATAATGGTTCCAAAAATACTTTTTTGAGAGTACATTTAAATTTATAATACTAAAAAGAAACCTTTTATTTTTTTTTCAACAACTACTCGCTCGCTTTACTAGCATGAAATTAAAATAAAACTCAAAAACTCTATCAATTTTTTCTTTCGACCTTAAAGCAACTGTTTGGAAGTTTTCAAACGTTGTTCGAATCACAGCTGGAGTTTGATATTGTACATGAATCAGCACATTCCAATGAATATTGGTGGCATCTGATTTAGCCGGAAATACAAAAAAAACGAAAACACGTTCCCGAAGACAAATGTTTCTCTCCATTTCCTTTGGTCGGTAAACAAGGATAGCCGGTTGATGTACTAATAGAGCCAGAAGTTAAGCTCAGTGAATTTAAACAAGATTTTAAAAACACGAAAAAAACAGACAGAATTTTTTGTCTCTTTATTGAGGTATAGGCGGAGATCGAAGCAACGACTTTTCCCGCGACTTGAAAATCGGAACAGCATTTTATAGTCTTATAAGATTCAAGTAAGAAATTGAATTGACTCTTAAATGATGAAAGAATGGTGGTAAGTTACAACAAGTGGCAATATTAACTAAAGTGCATTTATTGAATTTGAGAACTATAATGCATAATATAGTCTTTTCATTTTCAATCAATTGTACATGCTGCTAAGATAGTTTTGTAAATACAATGCTCTACCAGATAAAACGTTATTGAAAACACAAATTTTACACGTCTTTTGCCGAAAAATTTGGCGTTTCAAATAAAATGAATATACTGTGCGAAGTATAACAAAAATTCATCCCGCTATTTAACTCAAAATTACGACCTACTGTTAAAATATCACCGATTGCATAAAAAAAACAAAATAAAATAGGTTACCCTTCGCTTTTTAAACCTTTTGATCCAACTCACGATTTAAATAACTTTCAAAAAGGGGAAAATTTCTGTAGAATGATAAGTATGGGTTTCTTTTAAAAACATTTCCGGACCCAAACCAACTGAAATGACAATAAACTTGTCACCTACGAGCTTTCTCTGAGGCTAAAAAAAGTGGCATGTTAAAACCCACCCTGCGCTATAGCTCCTTCAATTCACTTTTCCAGTGACGTTGTCGGAATAACACGTTCCAGCGACGTGGTCGGAACAGTATTAACATGCTGCATTGTAATCCATTGCCCGGAAGATGTCACCGTAATTTACCCGGTAACACGGATTTTCTGCAACGCCTTACTAACTTTCCATGGCGTAATTTACACGGTAACTCGGATTATCAGCAACGACATACCAAATTTGCAAACACAAACTTATCTAAATACAAAACTGATTTTGGAAAGAAAAAAATTACCATCTGGTTTTGAACGGATTTGGGTTCTGAATTCTATCCTCAAAAAGACCAAAGAAGACAATTTGAGACGCTTGATTATTTCACACATGAAAATTACTGCCTTATTACTCATCCATCTACTAAAGACACCACAATTTTACGAAATGAAGTTTTGAGTATTATTAAAGCGCGAAATTTTGGAATCGAAAAAATTTTCAGCTGGGCGCTAAATGGGTTCTGATATTGGACGGCCGTTCATTTCTGACATCCGAAAGTTTGAGATCAATCGAAAAAGTTCTACGACGGAGAAATCAATGAGAAGTTTTATTTCCTTGCAATGTTTCGTTTACAACACAAAACGCTCCAACCATCAACAAATCTACATAACGAGGAGCTACTTCCTTACATTTCAGGGCAGCAAGAATGTCAAATTGCCATTAATCGAGACGTTTTTAGAAGCGATGTTTTGGAGAGAGCTTCGCTGAGTAACAGCAGAGGTCTTGTTTCTGACGAAAAAAAATATGGTAAAGAGAGCAAACTAAGTTTTTTGACAGCAGCAGAAAATTGCCTTACTGATAAACATGTTTACTGCAAAGAAGCTGATTGGATACTCCAGATATAAATTTGAAAACGTTCAACAAGATTTGGGCCGAGTGAAAAATTTCGATTTTTCAATTCATTGATTTCATGCCATCTATTCAGATTCAAGGATCATTTATAGTCTTGAATGGCTGTTTTGATTGCCCTTGGAGTCAAATTTTCATGGACAAGGAAATTTTAAATCTCTTTTGATAAATCAAGAAAGTTTACGTACCTTCCAGAAATTATGGTGGAAGCTAATTCATACCGTGAACGGTCAAATGATTTCTCATTTATGATTATTTAGAGCTTTCAACAATGCCGTTATTGACAACGATATGCCGGTATTGAAAACAAAATTGACAACAATTTGCCATGATTGACACGGAAAAATTCAAATGCTCGGAAACAATGAAAAAGAAAACATAGCCGATAGACAGTTGGAAGAGTCATGAACAAAAGGAAACAAAAATACTGACTTAAATTTTGAAAAACTTCAATTTTCGAATTTCAAATTTAAAATATATGGCCTTATAGCTCTTTGAATTTCTATAACTATTTATGATTGAAACTTTTTCGATAAAATCAGCCCAATTTGAGAAAAATGGATCAATAGGTAAATTTTTTATTCAACTGGGAAACCTAAAACAAAATCCACTTTCGAAACTAGAATTCGATAAAGTTTTTCGTGACCTTTACACTTTTGCTGTTCGATAGTGGGGTTGGCCTTCCTTTTAACAAAAGAAATAATCTAAAATTTGAAAAATCAAAAATCATAAATTAAATTTGAGCCTCAACAAGACTTTTCCCGAAAAAAAAAACAAAAAATCACCAAGACTGATATAGAGTATTCACTACGTTCATGACTGTTAATAACGAGCTAAGATTCTGTCCAACTTTTGCATTGGCCTTTTCAAGAAATTGTTCTCTGAAAGTCGGTTGAGACCTATCACAGTTTACCGAACTTTTTTCAATTGATCTCTTGCTCTTTTAAATCAACTTTGTCTCTTTCTGCCTCTTTCAACAATTTGCCTCTTTCAACTATAGCTCGCTCATTCAAACATAAGTCGTTTTTGTTTTGTCCGTTTCGTTCGCACTTCATCCTCTGTAGTTACTCTCTAGTGTCCAGTAGCATGCAGATCTGTCGGCACTGGTGGAGACGAAGGTCAAGTCAGAGGGGTTCCAGCGACACTGGATCACTTTGTCCTCATGTTTGCCCACTATTACACTCTGGTGGGTGGAGCCTACGGAAGAAAGATGAACATGATTTGAAAACAAGCACTTGTCCATCGTTCATGTTCAATACAAAAGCAAAATGGCACGATAAAATACTCAAGGCAAGAACTCAACACGAAAATGTAATAATTCTAAATCCCAAAGCTTTTATGCCTTGAATTCTTCGTTTTCCCCCCTTTTACTGATATCAAAATCATCATTAACCATATTTTTTGTTGGTTGAGAAAACAAAGATTTTGCGAGAAAATCTCATGCAAATGTCATGTTTCAACTTTAACATTCCAAAAACCGCGAAGAAACAATGACAAGTCTACAAATTTCTACCTCCGCAATAGGTCACAGCCAATTTTGAGTCGTAAGACCCAGTGAGAAGATAGTTTGGATTAGAGGGCGCGAATCGCACTGATCTGACGTCACTCGAGTGGCAATCCAAAGTAGCCAGATGAGGAAACTGAGCCCTCCTGATGTCCAGTAGCACCACTTTGGCATCCTCGGTTCCAAAGGCCAGCAGAGTTCCGGCGCCATTGACCGAGACTGCACAAGCCGGAGAGGCTGCTACTAAAAAGGATCAACTGAACTTAGCAACTTTAAGGCAAAGTACAAATGTAGATCTGCGGGGTAATCGCAATAGCCTACAATTCAGAAAACTCCCATAACATGAAAACAACCAAAGAAAAGTCAGAACAGTTCCTATTTCCAGAAAACATTTTTAAAAATATGCAGAACTCTAAAAAGATCACTGTAAATATTGTTGAACGAGCGACCTCCGAATGTTTGCTGCAAACAATGAATGGCTATAGTGGTCTAACATGCTAGCGAGGGAATGTCAGTGTTGATGACGTGTGTGCACTTGCCACTCCTGATGTCCCACAGACGTACTGTCTTGTCCTGGGAGCCACTGCACAGATTGTGAGTTCCATACGAGAACAGGCTCAGTATAGGACCTAAACTTAGAGAAAGAGTTAATTGCAACTCCATCCGAAATTTTTAGGCTTTAAAATTAGCTGCTAATAAAATCAGTCAACTTTGCATGTCAGACCATCTAATTCCATTCCGAAAGCAATGCTATTTTTGATGAGCTAAAATACATCCCATATACCAGAAAACCAATGAGTCATATCCCACAAATTTGCTAGAATTATCAACTCTTGCTTTCGATACACTTTACAGCTGATATTTATAACCGTCCAGTAGAACTCGCTAGAAAACTTTCAGCAACCTGGGACAGCAAAGGAAGCCCAGATTTTTCGCCAATAAACCTACGGTAGCAATAAGCTTTCATATAACAAGCTTTACATTTTCCCCGTGTACTTGCTTTCTATTTTTAAGTTAGGTCGAGTATGGGGGCTATTCTCATGCGCGAAGGACCGAATGGGGAAAAATTCTCAACCAATTAACGCCCATTAAACTGTCCAAAAGTTACATTTTTTCAACTTACTTCTTTCGAATTTTTGAATACTGAGCTGATTGGTTGACAAAACTTTCGCGCATTCAGTCCTTCTCGGGTGAGGGATTCCCCGTCGAGCACAAAGATTTTAATCACCTGAGTGACCAGCGAATGCGTGCATGGCTTTGGCCTGTTGGCAGTCTGTGACATAGATGTTGCAGTCTCCTGCTCCCCCAGACACCAGGAGAGGGGAGCCCAAAATGACTCCACTGCCCGAAGAGGTGAAGACCACATCACGCACTGTGCCGTCGTGCATGGCCAACTCAATCTCCGAGCAGCCTCCTAAATTCAAGTTGAATTACAGATTGGGATAGACAGATATTCAGAGAGAGATATCGAATAATAAAGAATACAAGTTCTATTAATCGCTCAAATTTATCTGCTGAGTCATTGTGAAAATAAATAATTCGAACATCTTGGCAGTTTCTACCTAAAAATTGAACAGAACAACTCAAGATTCCCGCATTGATAAGCTGAAGGTTTTCGTTCAACCTTAAAATATCCTAGCCAAAAATGTATTTTACCTCTGAGCTGCTGTGTGATGGGGTCCACAGGTATGATTTTGATCATCTTGTCATTGGACCCAGTCGCAATCAACTCCCCTCCTAGACTCCAGTCCACACAGTAGATGGATCCCTTGTGCACATCCTTCTTGGACCAGAGAGGCTTCACTGGCGGCTTAGCTGACTGCTGCTTCTGAACACAAATTTGCTCATCAATACTGGATTCGAACACGTTTTTGTTATGGCCACACTGAAAGTAAATTTTCGCGCGATTTTTGGCATCTCAAATAATGTTCGTAGGCGGTGCTTTAAGTCAAGGTTCCGATTCGAAAACAAATAAGATTTACAAAAATTTTCTCGGTGTCGGGAAAAACTGACCTTTTTCAAGCTGATATTCAACTTCGATTTCACAAGAAGAGTGAGTGTCAAAAACTCACTTCCCACTTTATTTTGGAAGCATTGTAACTGGTTTTATCTACACAGAGGCAAAGCTGCGCTTCAAAAACACTGGCGAGAAAACGACAGCTTGATAAAGTGAAAGAGGAAAAGTTGAAATAAGCCTCAAATTAGTAAAACTTTTGCTACGTGTCGGACTCCAACCTGCGACCTCGAGAGTTGAAGTCTCAAGTTCTTCCCTTTCAGCCACGGACGCTTACAGATCTTCAAACACCAGCCAAAAAAATAGCAGAGAACAGATGCCACAAAAAGCAGATAACAGATGCTATCGCAATCCTAAATAGCCGGTACGATGTGAAAGAGCCTGAGTTAAGTTGATCAACTCTTAAAAAATGAACGATAAAAATTAGCCCTGACACAGCCTTTCCACTTAACAACTTTCATATGCATTCTTAACAGGTTTTTTGTAAAGATGGAGGTAAATTTAGTTAACAAAATCAATTCAATCGACCATTAATAACAATAATAATTGAAAATTCTTGAAAAAATAAGTTCATGATTAGAAACTTCCTCGTTTTTTTGTCAATGATTAAAATCAATGCAAATTCTAAAAATTCGAAATTCTTGCTAAATTGACAAAAACTCACATTTTATCCAAGTGTTTACCACAACTATCATGGTATTTAAAAATGGGAAATGTTGGAGGACATTTTAGATACAATTTTAAAAAACTTCATCTATTATTTGACGAATTTCATTCAATTTAGTGGAAGTACATTCTATAAGCCTTGAAAATGTTATCTAATTCTACTGCATTATCTAAATTATTTTTGACATAATTCTCTCATTCCTGCAGATTCTGATCTATTGAATTATCCTCTCCCAAGAAAAATTAAAAATTTCGAACTATTTTTTTCTATCTTTATTTTTTAAAATTTCGCTCACATTTTAATTGATTGATTGATTTAGATTAATATAGTGGCATTCTGTGCTAAATTCACAGCAGCTGGTCATACTTGTTTGATTTTATTGTTGGTCAAATTAGTACTTTATAAAATTAATCGACATATCTGCAGGTTGCGTGTTACGACTAAATTACCCTTGATGACATAATGAATCGAGGCAATATGCACTAAGGCACTTTTTAAATTGGAAACAATTTATCTCACCCTTATGCCGAATAAGAATCTTAATACACGTTATCTTAAGCGATCTTAATAGCGTAATTCTATTTACCTCCGGGTAGGCTGCTGAGTTGAAGTTGATGAACGTTGAGTTATTTGGGGAGGGGAACACTCTTAGCACCTTAGTGTTGGCACCCACAGCATACCCCACTCCATTGGGGTGGAACGCCACACTCCTCACTGCTTGTACATCATTTAAAACTACACTCTTCGTGAATGAGAGATCGTTGGTTGTATCTCTTTCGGATGGCCAGTTGTCGCCACCACCCAGAACTACATTGCTCTGGAAAAAATTAAGATCCGTTAATCAAAACAATCATCCATGAAGAATGAATAAAAAATTTTTAGTGGGTTGTGAAACATAACTACGTCTTCAATATACAAAGGCGAAGGAGCAGAGCTCCGCAAAGCTTGAAAAACAACGAAAAAAAACAGTTATCAATAAGTAATACATGATTCCAAATCTTTCACAAATTCCAAAAAAATCATTAAAGGCTATCGCTAGTGAACGGTTACTATCTTCAAATTTTGTCGTTTTTTTACGAGCACCAAGGACCACAGATTACACCGAGTCGAAGCTGCGCTTCGCAAACACTTGCGAGAAAACGACAAAAAAGCAGCTCTATAAAGTGAAAAAAGGGTGAAAATGAGACTTGAAAATGAAATAATCTGCTGTGGCGGCTTCGATCAGTAGATTTAGAGTACCCTTTCCTCGCATCTGCGCCACGGGCCCATGACAATTTACTAACACTAACCACAAATAGGGAAGCTACATTTGCTAAGAAATTGTCTATACAGCTAAATTGGCACCAGATTTTAATAGACACAAATTTTGCATGTAATATTATGGGATATACTAAACTAAAGGCCTCCACATTAATTTTGCATGTGAAAAATTTGAAAGCATGAAGCCAAATTATAAATTAATTATGCATTTCAAAAAAATAAATATTTTTATTACTGCACTGTTGTTTGAAACAACTTTTTTCAGTTCATTAGATAAATCAAAAATGCATCAACGGTGTTAACTTATAACTTATCGAATCTCAAAGCACATGCTACCAAATTCTGCAAAGGTGCTCCAAAAGTGGAAACAATATTGGCGACTAATGTTGAAAAAAAAAGAATAGTCGTACTATTACACGACGCTCGCAAGCGTTATTAATCTCATGAAAACTGACGATACACAACTTTCAATCACAGAAAGAGCAAAAAGTTCATGCAAGGTAACTTTCTCTTGAAAGTATCCAAAGGCCAATAAAAATAAACGTGAAAAATGATATTGAAACCAAATATATAATATTTCTTAAACCGAAATATTTAATATTAAATACCTTAAATATTGAATATTTACCTGAAGTATTTATTTTTAAAAAAACCGAAAAAAATCAAATTCCTGTTTAGGATGCTCCTCTCGGATGTATAAGGACGAAAACTTTGCATACAAAATAAGCAAAAATATAAGCATGTCTCATTTCACTCACATTATTTCTGTGATCTTGGTAGTTTATTTCTCCACTGAGTCTCTTCTGCTGTTGTTGTTCAGTCTGTGAGAGTGATGACTGTGATCTCTGTGGCTCATTGTTAGATTGTCGCACTCTCGGCACACTTCCACTTAGACCAGGTTTAGGAGTGCTCATCTTCAAAAATAATTGGTTGAACGGAACTTTTATTTATAGAGTTTAACCAAAACGTACGATCCTCCCGCCTCAAGAAAAAAAAATGAAATATGGAGCTCATGATAACTAAAACACAGAGGCGAAGTTGTACTTCGCATACACAAGCAAAATCTGAACGATAACGCTACTGGGAAAAATTGAATGAGTGAAACTCTGAGTCTACAAAATTTCTTAAGTGACGCACGCCAATTATGAGTCTACATAATTGCTTAGTGACGCAAGCCAAGTATAACGAATTAGCATTACCAGTCAAATTTAAAAAAAGAGATTTACCAACTAAGATTCCTCAATTTATAGAAAGAACGCATTTAAACTGGGATGCGAAAAATTCATTAAAAACATTCGACCCTGCCAAGGTTCGAACCCTCATTTTTTGTTTCGGGTCTCCTTCCCTAGCTCTACGCTGCCGATCCATGATAACTTGAAACTTAAGTGCTACTAGAGGCCCAGCTAAAGCTAGAGGTACCGGTTTGATATTTTTTGAGTGAATGTATTAATGCGGTATAGGATGAAGTAGATAGTTTAAAAAACTTAAGCTTTGGGCTTCACCCAAAACCTTGGTTGTTGCTCTATTAAAAAATGTGTGAAAAAATTTTCAATTTTCGAATTTTCCAGAAACATAATTCTTGTTCAAACTTTAATGCTTAGCAATTTATACACGGAGGCTTCTTACAACCTGTTGCCTTGATTAAAACTTTGATATCAGATTGAGTTGTTTTCTTGAAGTCAAAAGTTTATAAACGAACAAGACATCAAAACATTGACTCTTCTGAAAGCCACAACTTTTTTGTATTAGAAAAACTGAACGAGAGCAATTACACAGACGAGCTTCGTTCAACCCTTTCTTTCTTCATTGAGCTTAAAATTTCAGGTTTGAGATGGTAGTTTTCAGGACAATTGTAGAAAAACTGCAATAGACAAATTTTTGACTTCTGAAAAACTGCAAAAAAAATTGACTTTTCCGAGAGTCATTAGTATTTGTGTAAATAACTGGGCTTTTGAAGTGGAGCTTCCCACAACCCGTTCTCACTGAAACCAATATCTCAGATTCGGGAGGGTAGTTTCTGAGAAAAGACAAGTTTTAAAAAAAATAATAATTCGACTTTTCCTAGGGTCATAACTTTTTGTGTAAAATAAAAAAAAATTGGGCGTTATCACTGGTGCAAGGAGCTTCCCACAACCTTTTCTACCCAATGAACCCAAAACCGCGATATGCGTGGGTACTTTTCGAGAAAGTGTAAAATCCAAAAAATTGGGTTCAAAAATCCCCCACACACTTTTTCGAAGGCTGTAGAAGGTGGGGTAAGGTAAAAAGAGGATAGAGGAGTATGCAGGCACATAAGTGAGAGGCCGAACTTCCCATTAAAACCATTCTTTTGAAAACCGGCAGAGTATTTTGAGAAAAACAATAACTTTCCAAAGCGTCTCAAAAAATAAATAATAATACAAAAAAAAACCGATGCTATACATTTTCATCAGACCTGTTTTTATTAAATAGGATATAGAGGCCATTTTAAGCTTGAAATACGTTTTTGATATTTAATGAAAATTTTGTATTGATGCGGAAGGACAAGAGTAATTTCAAAAACAGACCTATAGCAAAGAAAAGTAAATCCCAATTTAATGACTTCAAAATCTGTTAATTTCACCAATTAAATCAAATTTCTTTAATAATGAAGTGATAACAAGAGTTTGTCAGGTTGAAAGATGCTTAAAACACTGCTCTTTAGATTTGGGTGGGTGATTTTCGGGTGGGTGAAGTTTCAAAAAAAAGGGTAAAAAAAATCGGAAATTTGACTTTTCCAAGCGTCATTACTTTTGGTTAAAAAACTTAGGCGAAATCGTTTATGCAGCGGAGCTTCCCACAACCCATTCTACTCCTTGAAACCAAAACCTCAGACATTAGGAGGGCATTTTTCAAAAAATCAGTTTGAAAAAACGGTCAAAAAATCGAAAATTTGATTTTTCGGAGCTTCGTAACTTTTTGGTTAAAAAATTTATGGGCGTTATCGTTTATGCAGGAGAGCTTCCTACAAACCGTTCTACCTATTGAAACCAAAACTGAGATTTGGAAAGTTAGTTTTCGATAAAAGTCAAAAAGTTTGAAAAAAAAACGGTCACAAAATCCAAAGTTTCAGAAAAAGAAAAATCGATAAGTTGACTATATTGAGGGTCATAAGTTTTTGTCTTAAAAAGATTTCGGCATAGCCGCTTATGCAGGGGATCTTCACGCAACCTGTTCTAACCATTGAACCCAAAATCGCAGATTTACGTGGCTAGTTTTTGAGAAAATGTATAAAATCCAAAAATGAAGGTAAAAAATTCACCCCACACATTTTCTCGAAGGCTGTAGAAAGTGGGGCAAGGTAAAAAAAACAGGATAGGGACTTATGCAAGAAAACAGTGGAGTGGCCGTACTTCTGAAAGTCGATGGAGTAGTTCTTGGGAAAACGAAAATTTTCCAAATCGTCTCAAAAAAATCATTAAAAAAACCCGATCCCATACATTTTCATAAAACCTGTTTTTATCACACAGGAATTTGTAGTATAATAGTTTGTGTTAATATCCTTAGCATTGGCTGTATTTAATAGCTGTTTATTGATCAAAATGAACCTTTCAAAATGAACACAATTGTCGCAACAATATTTGCGTCGCTACAATATAAGGGACTTAGGATGGAAAAAAAATTATTTCATACTATAACACAAGCTATGCTTGTGTAAATAGAACCACTCAAGGAAAAGTGGATTGTTGATGTTAGGTTAGTTCAAAGTTTCGCTCACCTGCATATTTTGGCTCTTCGTAGGTGTAACTTGTGAATCCATCTCCGTAAACTCTCGTCTCAGAAGACCCTCTCTAGTTCCCATATTCGGTTGTCGATTCCTATTTTTACCTTCACTGTTTGCATGTCTTAACGAATCATCTGCAATCGAGTTGTTCCGATCCACATTGAGATTCAGTCGCTCAAAAGAGCAGTCAATGGCTGATTGATTTGAACTAGTTTGGCTTTGGTTGTGATTTGGCGCCATGGAAGTACTGGCTCTAACTTGGAAACTGGACTGTCCAACTTTGAGCCCACTCTGGTTCATATCTCTCCATTTTGTGTTTCTTGGCGTTTCAAAATTGCTGTTCATTATTGCACTGTCTCCAGGCGGCGCGTAGCTTGGAGTGTTTGAAGCCTTAAACGATTTTTTTCCCCGAAAATCACCATTAAAAATATGTTCGTGAATACAAAAAATCATTCCAATAAAAGTTAAACTTCATTTATTGGTACCACTTCATAATTTTGATACAGGCTGTAATCTTTCAACAATCAATGTAACCACTCATGGTTTTTAAAATGCGGGGGAAAATGAGCTATAAGAAGTTGTACCTCCTCGTTGTCTTCTTCTATCGTCGAATGTAGTGGCTTGTAGCTGAAGTGAGCATAGGATTTAGACACATCTCTCGCTGGTGCACTCGAGTGTGGCATGAGGTACTGAATGTTTGGATGCTGCCCTGGCACACCGGACCTGTGGTAATCTAGGGGAGCTAGATTGCATACGTCTATTGACATGGAGAGTTTATCTGCTGTTTTGGGTCTCGCAGAGTTGAACCTAAACATTGTCTAATTATATGTTTATCAACGAATAACTAGCTTTAAGTTCAAGTTTTACTTGTCCCTTTTCGAAGTGCTTATTGCTCTACATAGAGTTGATCAAAAATATTATTACTTTCTATCGGTTCATTAACTAGAAATTTTAGGAAAAAAAGACTTTTTTAAGACGAGATGTTGGATGACGCTGAAATAAGAATTTAAACAGCAAAAAAGAACAAAAATTAAAATCGCAGTTCGATGAGATCACTTTGACAGACTCGCAGCTTCGTTTGATAGACTTCCGAGTGTAAAGATATATACTCACATTTCACAATTGGGACTTTTATTGAAATATGGTTGACATGCAATGGATTCATTGTAGTCGCCGGCTGTTTCGATTGTACTACAGCACGGCGAAGCTTGACTAAAAATCAAGAAAATCATGAAATAACTTATCAGTTGAAGAGTCAAATATTTAGCTTTTACATTGCTAATATAGCATGAAGGCACAATGAAGCAAATTGGAAGACAAAAGACAATGGGGATCAATGACTCTGTTATACCCTCAGCCGTTGGGTGAGGTATAATTAAGTTGTCAAGTCTATGCTAAACGCTGACTATGAAATGAGAAATAGAAAAGACTACGATGGTAACTTAAATTCATCGGTCTATGTTTAAGTCTGGATGACGCTGACCTCGAAGCATTTGAGAGACAGCGTTTCATAATAACTATTACATATGTTGTTAGGTATAGATAGATACTTATTTAATCCTCAGACTTCTATATGTATTATGTAATCATTTAGGTTTATAATATGTAAACATTACCAACTGGTAGTTTTAGCACCTGAGTGGACATTGTTTATATAGGAATGTTTTACTATGATATCCGTATGGATAACACTTCCCTCCTTTTAAGAAATTGAGTTCTCAATTTAAGCTTGATTTTCATCGTCCTCCTGCGAATTATCTTTGGCTTGTTCTCGCGTCTCCGCCGATTGTTGTTTATCGGTTTTAGTAATGTCAGTTGATCTCTGTTGTGGGGAAGGTTGATTTTCGTCTTCTTTCTCTCTCTGGAACGTCATTGAATTTCCTCGAATAGGACTAATCGATTGTAAGAAATTCATTGCTTCTTCAAAATCTTTACTGAAAGAGTCTTCAGTGATCTGCGGCTTGTCTAGAATATACCGCGAGCTTGTGGTTCTTTCAATTGTATGGGTCTTAGTCGTATTTCGGGTGTTCTCGGGCGTATCGCTACTCATCTGGACCTCTGTGCACACGATTTCATCTGATGACGCCAACGATGCTGTTTGGTGTGTCGTGTCCTCATTGTATTTTGTGATCTGGTTTTCGTCATTTTTGCCACTCGGATTGGAGGTGCTAAGTTTCGTCGGTGTAATTTCTTCCGTACTTGTGAGTTCGATGGTTGCTACTGTGAGTGGGGCGTCAGTGTTTGTTGAGATGTGTCCAATTGGGATGGCATTTCCGAATTTTCCGGCCAGCGTGCTTTTCCGTGATCTGGTTGATCGCCGTATTTCCGGTGATTTGGTTTCTGGTGTGGCCTTTAAGTCAATACGTTTTGCTGCAGGTTGTTGACTTGGAGATGGGGATTTATGGTCGAGCTCGTTATCCGATGAGAGTGAGATCGATGTATCACAGTCGAATTGGATGGTTGCGGAGTCGACTCTTGCTTTCTTCTTTGGGCTAACTGTTCTATGAGGTACTGCCTTTGCCGGGAGACGTTGCGTGAGCGATTTACTTCTGTCCCGGGCATTCCCTTGCTGTGTTGGTGTAAATGTAGCCAATAGTTTCTGTGGACCTAGGGCTCGTCGGTTCAATGTCTGCTGAAGTATCTCCTGTGTTGATTTTGGTGGTGGCTTTCTAGGGCTTTTTGCTGAATTGTTTGATGCTCCTCCTTGTGCCCCTGTGCTAGTCGTCTTTTTCTCTAAAATACGCGGTTTAGCTCTTGGTAGGTGTTTATACGCGACAAAGTCCTTTAGTGCCGCTGGTCTACACTTTCCATAGACCCTTGGATCTGGTATGAATGCAAGACCGTCATGCCTAATTACCCTAGGTTGTTTCCCATCTTCCCGTATCCACGCAGTGTGTGGAGAGTAATTAATTATTGCGCCGTTTTCGATAATTTTGAACTGCGCCCCAAATGTTCCCGGATTTTTTGTTTTTCTTGCAATTGTCCCCGTTTTCCTAGCAATTTGTTCGAGGCGTAGTCCTGTTTTAGGATTAACGGTATGTGCTGGACCTTTAAAACGATCCTTTAGAAATATTAATGGGGCATTTCGTAATTTTTCTTTTTCTTGTGATGTTAATAATCTTATGGGGTTACGAGTTCTTAGTTTATCGAAATCATTAGATTTTTCTTTTAGAAAGGTTTTTTGAAATGATCTGGCTTCATAAGGCTTATTCGTCAAAGGTAGGTGCGCACCTATTGGGAATTTTTGGAGTAGCCTCCTGTCGAATTCCTCATCACTGCTGTCTAATGTTACTGCCTCCGTGTGTGTATCTGCATCCGGCTGGTTCTGTGCTCTACGTTTTCCTGAGTGTGTTTGTGTGTGTCGATTACCTTCGGTAGCACTTTTATCCGCGACAGTTTGTGCTGGTGGGGCCGGGTTGAATGTTGGTTCCGGAACGTATTGGTGCTCAGGTTTGTATTTCAGGTCTAGTTCATCCTCGCTGTTTATATCCCGGTTCCACATTGATTCCGCCGACAACGCTGGTTTTGCAAGTACTTTTTCGTCTAAACATGACAATTTAGTATTTTCCCATGAAAGGTTTGACAATTTAGGCGATGTGCTGAGGTTACTTATGGGGGTGTTAGCTTTTCTACCGTAGTGAGATTCAAACGGTGTAACTTTTGTAGAAGAGTTAGGTGTAATACGGAGGGTTTTTATTAATTCAGCTACGTCCGATGCTAACTTATATGGACGATTTGTTTTGTCAATTTTCATTATCGCTAGTCGTGATTTTAATGTTCGTATGAGCCTTTCGACCATGCCTATCGCTCTGTGGTCGTCCACCGGTGCGAAAATCAGTTTTATATTGTGAGATTTACAATATATAAGGAACTTTTTGGCTCTGAAACCTTGTGCTTGGTCACATCTGATAGCACGGGGTACACCTTGGTTGACAATGTGATTTTGCATAAAACGGATGATTGTATCCGCTTTGTTATTGGTAACAACTTTTGCATACGGAAAGCGTGAAAAGCGATCGACACCCACCAATATATAAACCTCCTTATCATTTTCGTCTGGTAAGGGTCCTGCGAAATCCAATTGGATTTCCTCATTTGGTTCTACTACCGCGTCCAATGTTGTGAAGTGTTGTTTACCCGAGATAACCTTAAAGTTCTTACCCTTTTCCCGACAGCTTTTACAGTTTTGCGCCATTGAGACGATGTCTCTGTGAATGAACGGATACCACACATGCTTCGCTGCTTCTAGCATTCCCCCTTGTCCTGGGTGTGTGAGGTGTAAAGCATCCATCAGTGTAGGCCTCAGTTGTTTCGGTATGACGACGCGGTCGTCGTAGAGGAGAATGTTGTCCCTGACTGATAGTCGATGCCTGACATTGTAGAAATAAGGGCCGTAGCAGCTTTTGATTGAGTCCCACTTTTGTTGCTTAACCATTGTTAAGAGTGGTGATAAATTCCTATCTCGTTTAGTAGCGGCTGCTAGGAAACTTATGTCCATCACCTTCCGTAAATTTTTCCGGAACATTGGGGTGTCTTCGTCTTCTATGCTGGCGATAGTTTGGCTCTCCGTGTCCTGTTTTGATGACTGGTTGTTGTCGGTTTGGGTTTGATGGTCTGTGTCAGGGTATTGATCTTTTTCCAGTGTCTGGCAAATGGCATCAGCTTTCTTGGATTCGATTCTGTTGAATGTGAAGCTGTTTGTAGAGGGTATGACTTGATGTGTCACGTCACTGAATGTAAGTTCTGGTGGAGGGGGTTTCGATAGAAGTGCATTAAACGATGCGTAATTTATGGGAGAGAACGTGAGTTGGGTTTGGGCTGCGGTATGTGCTTTCCTTGTTATGCGGCGAAAGGGTGGTAAAGTCATGCCTTGTTGCAATTGTCTACTCATGTTGTTTTGAATTTTTAAGTTTGAGCTGTTTGAAATTGAGTTAATTTGAGATCGACTTGATTTGAACAATTGACTACGCAGAGTGAATGCAGTTTGTGTTTGAATCGAATTTGAACGTGCGAAGTTCTCGTTCCGGTCGAGCTTTTTGGTGCCTGTATAATTAGCCGTTTTGACATTATTCCAAGCGGCGTTAATACTACTGCTATCTTGGAATTCTACGCATTTTACGAGATCATCAATTAGTGCTACTACGAAATTTTCATCCCAGTACGCGGGGGGTTGAGGTTTTCCGACCGGGTGTCGTGAGATGTAGTCAATGAGACCCATTTTACTACCAGCTAGGTGGTGTATGTCAAAATCGAATGGAATGAGTCGATCAATCCATCTGGTTAACCGACTTTGATAGGTTTTATTTCCCCTATTACTTTTTAATGCACCAACTAATGCTTGATGGTCCGTTATTAAAGTAAAACGTCTGCCGTATAAGTAGTACTTGAAGTGCTCAATGGCCCATACTGCGGCTAGAAGTTCGAGTTCGTTTACCGAGTATTTTTGTTCACATGAATTTAGGAAACGTGATGCATACGCAATTGTGGCCCAACCGTCCGGTGTGTTTTGTTCCAGGGCCGCGCCTATACCTTCGCGGCTGGCATCACAGACAATTCGGGTGTCTCGGTCCGTTACAAAATGTCTGTTTTCTGTTATGTTCTTTACTGCATTTAAAACATTTTTGAAAGCTTTCCCGTTTTCTTCATTCCACTGGAAATTAAATTTATTTGCTGTTGATAGCAGTGGTCTAAGGGGATTACATAACTGAGCTAAGTTTGGAATGAATTTGTTTAGGTGATGAACTGAACCCATGAAACTTTTCAATTGTTTGAATGTTTTTGGATGAGGTAGGTTTATGATTGCGTCCGTTTTCTTATGGATAGGTATGGTGCCGTGTTCGTTTATGGTAAATCCCAACCATTCTACTTCCCTACAACCAAATTTACACTTATCGATTGAAATAGCCATGTTTTCCGTATCTAGTTTGGTCAGAACTTTTGTTAATTTTTCAATATGTTTTTCTTTCGTGCCATGGGATATTATTAAAATATCGTCTAGAAACGCGAAAGTGTCCTTCTCGTTGTTGAGTGTCAGATCAATGGCTTTCTGAAATTCTGCGGGCATATCAGTTAGCCCGTAGAAACCGGTTTGGAACTGATATGTTCCCGTTGCTTTTCCTCCAATTATGCTGAAGTTACACTGCGTACGGGTTGGTTCGTCTAGTGGTAGTTGACTGTACGCGTATCGTAGATCTATTGTTGAGAAATACGTCGTTCCTGGCTTGTTTGTACCTTCTTGTGCCGATTGTGCTATATTGTCTAACAGAACGTCAATATTGGGCATCTGGTACTTATTTTTTTGTGGATCGATTTATTTATTTGTTTTGAGTCCATGGCTAATTTAATTGATCCATCCTTTTTAACAGTAATGACGATAGGGCTTATGAATTGGTTGTCGTTACATTTTTCAAGTCGAGTGATGTGACCTTGATCGATTAATGATCTAACTTCGTGTTCCACCTTTTCTTGTATATGAATGGGAATTCGACGCCCCCGTTGTTGCAAGGCTTTGAAATCCGATAAAAATTGTGTATGGACCATATGGTTTTTTGAACGTCCAATTCGTGTACACAATCCCGGATAAGTATTTCTGACCCACGTCGCAATTTGTGTGTCTGAATTTTCAATACTATTAACATGACATACTGACTCACCAGCTGGTTTTCTTTCTTGGTGTAGCTGGATGCCAATTTGTGGGAGAAGATTCCGCCCCAAAATGTTCGCCCGCCTGTCGTCCACCACAATGAAGGATGCTGTGTGGATTGTCCAACCTCCTGATTCAATTGGGGCGGTTAGTCTGCCAAGAGATGGGATTTTATAGCCATTGTAGCATACCATTCTGTTAGCTTCGTCATCCTCTCTCATTCTTGTTTTTACTGCTGATTTTACTGTTGTGGCCAGAAGGTTGGCTGTTTTTTCGTTTACGAACGATGTTGGTGATCCTGTGTCGGCAATAAAAACGATGTTGTTTTTCTCCGAGCGGACCCTTATCAGGTGTCCTTTGAGATCTGTGTCCAATAGTTCTTCTGCCCGTCTTGGTTCAAAATTTATCCAGTTTGTCGATGTATCGTCCGGATGGATTAACTCCCACCCTGGTATGACGTCACCCGCTTGTAGGTAATTAACGTATGCTGTCATATCCGTATCTTGAAGGTCTTGTTGTTCTTGGTTTTCTTCCTGGATTGCATTGACCTCACTTGATTTGCAAAGTCTAGCGAAATGGCCCCTTTTAGTGCATTTGTTGCAGATTTTATCACGTGCCGGACATTGGGCTAAGTGATTTCCTGAGAAAGCATTTCCACATTTGAAACAATCTTTCTTTTGTCCAGTTTTCTCAGGATAGTTTCTGGACGTTTGTCCTCCTCTACTGCGTCCACCTCGCTGATGCGCTTTAAATCCTCCCCGCTTGTGAACGAAATTTACCGGTTCAGATTTAATATTTGGCATTCCGGGATGATTATTTGTCGTTCCCTGTTTTCTAATATAAACCTGGTTCTCGAGGCCTCTTTCACGTTTTATTGCGTAGTCCAAAGCTTGTTCGGGAGTTTTTGTTTCGGCCAGAAGGTCTTTTTGAACTTCGTCGTTTGACATGTGTGCTATAAATAGGTCTCTGACGATCTCGGATTCGAGACTAACATCGTTGCATGCCGTGCATTTAAAATTTCCTTTTACCACCAGTTCCGTAAGTCCGCAGTGGAATTCTTCCAGAGATTCTGTTTTTCCCTGTTTGCGTGTGAACGCTTCGTAACGATCGAAGGTTACGTTGCGTTCTTTAACAAATAGTTGCTTAAGGAGTTTCCAAAACTCTCTGGTTGAGGTGTCTTGAATTCTGAGATTTGGATAATATTGGGTAACTCGTCTTTGGCCCTCCGTCCCCAAACACAAGTATATGTAACTTCTGCATTTGATATCGGCTTCCTCCCATGGTATGCCGTCGACTGTGGGGCCAAGATTATCCAAGTGTTGACATTGGTTTTCCCATGTTACACGTTTCTCTTGGTTTCGAAGGTTTCGATCGCGTATTTGTTTGTCTGTTTCTCCGTCTATGGGGAGCTCGTATCCTGGTTCCTGGGGTTTTCGAACAGCTGGGGGGTTATTTAGAAGCTTGTTCAAATTCATTCCATCTTTGGCGATGATACCAAGAAACAGTTGCTGGTTCCATTTGTCCCACTCTATTGGTGGTTCCGCGGACGCTTTTTGCCAAAAGGGTGTAATCCCCAATGGATTTTTGGTGACTGCTGGCTGCGCCATGTTATACCCTCAGCCGTTGGGTGAGGTATAATTAAGTTGTCAAGTCTATGCTAAACGCTGACTATGAAATGAGAAATAGAAAAGACTACGATGGTAACTTAAATTCATCGGTCTATGTTTAAGTCTGGATGACGCTGACCTCGAAGCATTTGAGAGACAGCGTTTCATAATAACTATTACATATGTTGTTAGGTATAGATAGATACTTATTTAATCCTCAGACTTCTATATGTATTATGTAATCATTTAGGTTTATAATATGTAAACATTACCAACTGGTAGTTTTAGCACCTGAGTGGACATTGTTTATATAGGAATGTTTTACTATGATATCCGTATGGATAACAGACTCATTTACCCCTTGTGACATCTAGTAACAACTCAGAGTCGTAATCGAATCGTAAGAGAGAAAATAACACAAACGAATAGATGACATGTCATTAGTTTGCTCCCTTAATAGAATAGAATCAATTCAGTGCCAAGCAGATCATTATTTCAACATAAATATGTTTAGCCACCATCTGTAATATTCTACCTTGTGATTGGACTGGGAAAACTTTTCGTGAAACCCGGTGTCAACTGGGCCGGGGTGGGAGTCAACAATATCTGTTCGAACCAACTAGCAGTGGGTGGCTTTACAATCTTGCCCACATTCACAGTTAGGTCTCTCTGCTCGAAGGGGGCACTGAACACCTGTTGAGGAACACACTCGTCCAGCCAAGAGATGAGACTCGGGTCTCCTTCCGAGTGGAGACTGCTGCGAAGAACGTTCACACCTGAGCAAGTGCAACGAGGTTACCATGGAAGCCCCCCACGCCCACACTTTCATGATACTTCACTTACTTAGTTCAATATAATTTTTTACTTGATTAGAACAATAACACAGATATCTTCTACTACTTTTTCTCAATACATCTCGATAGCCCGCTAACGCCTCATTTTGGTGGTCTCCAAAGATGTGCATTTACCCTTCTTCAAAACTAATATAACGTTATGTCCACTTGCTTGCCCTACGCCCTTTGATCGCCGTCTGATTTTGTGAATTGACCAGAGTACAAGGAATAGTTCATCATCCATTAACCAGATAAAGATTCAGATCAGAAGTTGGTCAAGATACAATTTGAACCGAAAAGAGGGTTTGGACATTTTGGGTTTATTAACCTGCAAAAACATCTGCTGGTTTCACTGTGGACTGCTTCTCCGGCATAGAAGAGGAGTCTCTACTCTGTTTCATATCAACTGGAGTTGCGACTGCTTTGCTCTGACAGTAGTCCAGACATGATTCGTACATCAATCCATGAACTACAATTTGCATCAATCGGTCCTGGGAGGCCGTGAAATCTTCTAAGGAGAGATTCGAATCAGCTGGGAGAATTTTCTCGACTACCGGTCGCAACTGCAATAAATTTTAGCTTTAGAAAATCCTGAATAATGCAATTTTAATCAGCACTAGACCCATCTAGAAATTGTTCAAATACAAATGAAGTGTATGAAATGAGATGAAACAACAGCATAAAATCGTTGAAGCCTGATATTCAGTAAATGTAAAAACTTTTTTTATGGTTTGTTTAAACCAGTTTGTTTCAATTTGATCATGTGAAATGAGGGTCCATAGCCTTGAAAAATAGATGATTACCTTTTGATACCTAAAGAGTGAAAACGAAACTTTAACTTTCAATTCAACTAATTTCCTAGTCAAATAAGGACAACCAGCTATTGTAGAAGTAGGGCACATTTCTGATCACATCAATCTAAGTTATCTAATTCAAAAATACGAAAAATTTCATGGTTTTTCACTAAGTTTCTGTAGAGGGTAAAACTCAGTATCTCATCTGCTCTTCAATGAATTATGCCGTATCAGAACATCGTGTCCTAGACATTTATGTCCCGGCAAAAACAGTCCAATATGCAAAAAGTGTCCAAGACATTTGGTTCCCAGACAAAATTTTCCCAAAACTGTCCGGGCTATTGCCACACTAGTTATTGACCGAATTTTTTGAATAAGCTCTATAGGAGGGATTAAAAATCTCAACAGGTTGGGTTAAAACGATAAAGCCACGCAACAGCAATTAGACCAGAAATTACTTTGAGCAGCATTTTAGAGACAAAGTTAACGTAGGACTCAAATCATTTAAACATACCTACACAATTATCGCTAAATTGATAATGTTGCGAAACGTAGACACGAGAGATCATAAAGTCATTGTTCTTGCTCTCTAGTTCGTGTTGGCAATGTAAATTCTATGACAAATAAAAACAACGATATGCTAGTTTATGATGCATAAGCAAATTTCAAACCTCGAGTTCTAACAGACACCTCAATTTAATGGCGATGAGTTTTATCAAAATGCAATGGCCGTGTACGCGCTTTCCAAGATAACATCACCATCATAAATGATCACAGTCATTTTCCCGATATTGAAAAACGAAGAACCATGACAGCTCTCGAAACGAGAGCATTTATTGCAGATAAGCCACCACGTCAAATAACTCTTTCCGTCCAAAGAAACATCAACAGAGAGACTGCAGCAGTAATCCCGAGCAGTTCGGCCAACCAGAGGACGGTTAAAACAAGAAAAACGGCCCAGAATGCGCGAACCCTAATCCTTAACTGATTTTGAACTGCCAGAGTTGCTGAAAGTGACACACGAGGGCGAGCGTTTCCTTAATTTTGACTCTGGACCTAATGATACCAAGCGAATAATGGTTTCCTCCAATCTTCCAGGACTCGACCTTCTCAGTGGCATTTTCAAATTTTGACCAAATTACGAAAACTTTTTGTCGGACCGGATTTTTGAACTTCAGAACTTTTGACCTTGAAACCAATGACTTCATCGCTCAGCCAAACGCGCTTTTAAAACTCAAAGTGTTCTTGAAAGTTTTGTCTTTTTTTGAATGTTCTGTGGCTAACTGGTAAGCATAGAATCAGCGATTAAACAACCTTGAAAGAACCAAGTATTAAAGATCACAAGGTCAAATCAAAGAATTTAATTTTGCAAAACAATTTCGGACAATTTTGTCTGGGACATAAATATCTGGTACATTTTTATAATTTCGGACTGTTTTGTCAAGGACACAAATGTCTGGGACACAAATGTCCATGCACCGAATTATGCAGACCAGTTTTTGTTGACGCAGAACATTTATGAACGTTATTTTCTAAATGATAGGAATCACGGCTGTAGGGGTCTAAACATAATACCATAACCAAGATCTAACTTGATTTGTGATTTTAATAGTGATCGGAACAGTTGAACTCTTTTCCAAATAGAAGGTAATATATAAAAACCAGGTATAATGGTTATGGCTTTTCTTTTCTAGAAATCTAATACTCTAAGCACGACAAATTGGCAATTTTTACATTTCAGTTACACTCGCTCTGCAAATCTTGTTAAGATTTGAGAATTATCGGACATACTCATTTCCCTATAATAATTACCAAGTCAAAGCACTGCAACCTTGCCGAGCTAGGATTCCAATTTTTGAAATCAGGATGATCTGACAGTTTCTGGACAGTCAGAAGCAGACAGAGTGAGTTGTACTCTTCCCTAGAGGGACAAATTCGTTCCATACTGTGGAGACAAGCCACCACTTCGTCGATGTTGAACTCCTCGAGGAATGATTGCGATCCCTGAGTGCCTCCCAGGCCGCCCCCGACTAGATCCTTTTCGTTTTTCATGCATAGCATCTCTAGGTACCGTTCGCGAAGGATGACGAAACGACAATAGTTATATCTCTCTTCACTAGCAGTCTCCAGAGGCTAAAACAGCGATACAAATAAACATAATGCAACTTAAAATTTCTATTATGAAATAGCTTTTTAATCTCGATGGTTGGCTAATTTAACTTCAATATCACCCGAATATTAACGATCAGAATTGAAATCTAACTGAGTGACAGCTCACACAGAAATCATAATAAATTGGTCTGCTAGAAGTTTCTAGCGTCTTTACGAGCTCAAATGACATATTGTAACTCAACCCCGGGAATCTCGACACAAAAGAAATTCATGATTCTCAAAAAAATAGTCACCTGGTTGTCATATATAACGAACAGCAGATCGTTTTAAAGAGTCCACCAGTTTTATTTATAAGTTAAGAATCTATTAAGTATTTATCTATCTCGTGAAAACATTAACAGATGATGATACCTGAATAAACTGTAGCACATCCTCCCATTGGCCATCTAACACCAGGTGTCTCAAAAACAGCACATCGTCCGAAAACAGCCCATTGACCAGGCCACTTTCCCTTTCTAGAGCTCGCATCGTAATGTGAAATCCTCTCGCATTTAGGAACTCCAGAATAATCTTAACTACTTCGGCTTCTTTTAAATTCAACATGGTCCGTTCTGGGGTGTCACCATTTTCGCTCAGAGCAGCTGACACTTGTTTTTCCGGCATTTTATCGACAAGCTTAAGAGTTGACCAGTGTTAGATTCGTCGAAACCCGAAACCTGATTGTTTGGAATTATTTCGGAAACAAGGCCGAAACTAAAAGGGAAAGTCAGAGCATTTTGAATTTGGAAGCCGCCCCTAAAGCCAGTCACATTTGCTCAAATTTGAGACATAATAGCATCTGAAAAAAATCGTTCTAGATAAGGCACAATGCTATTCATCAAGTCAATAAAAACTAAGCGAGGGGATATGATTACTTCTGAATAATCCATTCAAAAATCAAATAGTTAATGAAGTGCTGATTTAAATTATCCGGACAAAACTTGAATATTCTCAACAAAAATTTCACCCCAAAAATGGGTCATTTTGGCTTTTTTTCAATAAATCAAGAATTACGCTGAAACTACTTTGTTAATTGATAAGAAAATTATATCACAGGAAGCCTCTTACGCAGCTCAACAAAGTTTAAGAAGGGTTAAATCTCCAAAAACCAACATAAGAGAAAAAATTTTCACTTGATAATCAATAAACGTGATTTTAACTATAAAACGCAGAATCTCTGTTTAAAAATAAATTTTGAACAATTGGCGCAAATTTTTGGAGGTTTAACCCTTCTTAAACTTTGTTGAGCTGCGTAAGAGGCTTCCTGTGATATAATTTTCTTATCAATTAACAAAGTAGTTTCAGCGTAATTTTTGATTAATTGAAAAAAGCCAGAATGACCCATTTTTGGGGTAAAATTTTTGTTGAGAATTTCGGAGAAAAATGGCACCATATTAATTCTGGTAAAATTCTAAGCAACTTTTGTTCTCTTCACTTTTTGTCTAATCTTAACCCAAATTGAGAAAAACGCGTTTGAAAATTTAAGTTTTGTTCGTTTTGTCCGGATAATTTAAATCAGCACTGTATTCAAACAAAGAATCTAAGATTCACACATTTGCTGAAGCCAATCAATCACTTTTGATTGGCATTTGGCAAATTTAATTCCAATTACAGGGTAACGTAACAAAAAGAACACAAAATTACATTCGCGTTTTCTATCGCTTCATCTCGAAAAAGATAATATTGCCACATACAAACAATTCTCAACTGCACATAATAATATCCATTGAATGATTGATCAAATAAAGAGGTAGAAGGCGTAAAAGAACAGCGAGCTTTAAATGGTTGAACCAGCAACCGATCCGGCTTTGAAACCAAAAATCAACAATTTTCTTGTGAGTGAAGTTAGTAAATCATTTGGGAAAAATTTGAACTCTAAAGCGCCTTTATAGCTATAGACAAAGAGGTTTATAGTTTTTAGACAGCAGTTTTTCAAACATATCCTCATTATTTGCGCCCTGAGATATTGTAACATCATACACCACTTTGTGATAAGGGTCCTGCGTACATTCCGAAGGCGGACCATGCAATCTCAAAATTGAAAGTTTTACCACTTTGTTTAAAAGTGATTTTGAAAAAGCCGTTTTTGCGTTCAGAGACCATGTGTACTCAACGTGATCTGAGGGTCCGGTTTGTCGTTTTTGAAGACAACAGGGAATCGTTCCGGCTGGCAAGGAAGAAAAGCGTTCTGGCATTGTGTAGCAATTTTCCAGAGGGACTATGTCCGTATTACCCCAGTCGATGTAAAACACTTCTATCTGAACAAAAAACAAACAGGTTAAAATAAAACTGCATCGTCTGCTTTGGGACACTGGAGATCTCCACCTTAAAATTGGGCGTTTGACATATTTTATCATGATACATTTTCTAAAACCAATTATATTGGCAGCAATGCTCAGGATAAATTAATGGGTTTGATTTAATAAAAAGCTAAGTCTTGTTCGGAAACATTTCTCAAACACCCACACTTTTCCAAAACGTACCATGATTTTAAACAATCTATATGGATCCCACAAATTCTGTTCCATAAATTAAACAAAATTAGGGCCAAATAGATCTTATCTAATAAATTGGCAAGCTTAAAGCATACATACGGTAACGCTTAATCTCTTAAAATAGCCAAGCCACAAAAAAAACACGCTTCTTCTCTTTAAAAAAAATCAACGACTCAACTTCGCTTTGAAAGAAAATAGGAAGGCGGATCGGGATTACATTCCCATAAAAACAACTATTACAAGTCAATTGCTCTCCCAGAAGAAAAAATCACCCAAAGAAATTCATTTTAAAGCTGATAACTTGTAATATTTCGAAAAACTTGAAGAACTCGCCAGAAAACTATTTAAAAGAGAATCAAAACATCATTTTCGAATAAAAACTGTTCCAAAATTTTTTGTCTCAGATTTTATTATGAGATGAATAGTTATTTTCAGAAAAATTTCTTCAGAATAAACTAATCTGAACTTATTTTGGGGAGCGAAGACAAAAGGCTGTTACATCCTTATTTACAACATAGCCAACAGACAAATGAAGTAGTGCCCATGAACGCAAGGAAATTAGCGAAATTGAAAACAAGAACATCAATTGAAGCACAAAAAAACATCATATTCAACTGAACTTATTTTAAAAACTCTTACTTTAAAAAGCTAACAATAGCTAGATTTTTTATTCCGCTGTGAAACCATTAAATTGAAATCCACTTTTAGAACTGAAAATCATTCACATTTTTATGCGCTCCAAATGAGCAAATCAAATGAAGTAGTGCCCATGAACGCAAGGAAATTATCGAAATTGAAAACAAGAACATCAATTGAAGCACAAAAAAACATCATATTCAACTGAACTTATTTTAAAAACTCTTACTTTAAAAAGCTAACAATAGCTAGATTTTTTATTCCGCTGTGAAACCATTAAATTGAAATCCACTTTTAGAACTGAAAATCATTCACATTTTTATGCGCTCCAAATGAGCAAATCAAATGAGTGATTTAATGAGTGATAAAAACAAAGGTGAAACCGCGCATAAATTAATTTGAAATTGAAAAACCTAAAAAAATTTTCTTGCAAAAAAACTCTGGACGACACCAATTGATTTTAAGATTTAATGCATGTATTACGTCAGGAAGTTGATAAAAAGGACTCCAAACTGAGAAGCATTTTTGTATGTTATCTAGTTAAACACGTTTATTTCACAGGAAACTAGAAGAGGCAGTTTCTGTAAGAGTAATTCAACATTCTCTTTATCACAAGGATTCAAGAAACAAAATCAACAAAAAAACAAATTTGAACATAACGAAAAAAAATATTGATAAAAAAATTACTTTTTGTTCAGGCGACTCGGAGAGTGGAAAATAGCTTATAATCAGGCCGTTTTCTTTTTGGCCAAATTTGATAATTCGAAACTGGTATCATATTGAACTATAACACAGAGACAAAGCTCCGCAAACAAGCTAATAAAATGCAAAAAAAGCTCTTAACAGGCAAAACAAAGTGAAATAAGGCAAAAGAAAAGTCTAAAAATACCACTTGGGAATTTTTTTGCTCTGATTAGGAGTATCACCTTCTCACATCTGTTCCACAACCACTTGTAATTTTACTAACACGCCACCAATAAAGCAGCTACAGTTTCTATCAAATTGCCAATGCTATGTAGCAAAAATTCGACCAAAAAAAACTAATTCAATGTTCCGGATGTGAATCTTCGACCTGTTGATTTAAAGTCTCACGTCCTGGCATCTCCGCCACAATTTCTTGGAAGTAAACTAGTTGCCCAGTTAATGCTGGATGCGCCTGTTTTGATATTTTTCATCATTTTGTACTAATACGAAAATGCATAATTTAAAAAACTCAAAAAAATGGAATTTAGGCAAAACCCTAGCAACTTCACAGCTTAAGTAGATATTAGCCGCTTAGTTATACGAAAAAAGTATTACAATCTCTTTCAAGTAAATTCTTCCTTTCAGATTTGGCTGGGTAGTTTTCGAAACAAGTGAAAAACAATCCAAAAAAATAATCAAAAATTAAAAGTTTCACTTTTCCTAAATCCATTAAATTTTCTCTACTAAAGCATGGAATTGCCTTTAATGCAAGGAAACTTTCCACACCCTAAAATTTAGACTGAATCCTTAATATCAGATTTAGCTAGTAGTTTTTAAGAAGTGATGCAACTAAAAAATGGAAAAAAAAAGTCAAAAAATGGATTTTTCCGAAGTTCATATCGGCTTTTCTAGAACTAAGTAAGGTGCAACAGATTATGCAGGTGAAAACTAAGCACAAGGTTTGGCCTTAAATAAAGCCATATTTTTTTTTTCAAAACGTAAGGCATAGACTCTTGCGTAGCGTAGAGTCGCACACCTGTTTTTTATTGCCATCAGTTAAACCCTTGATCTCCAATTTTGCAGGGTAGTTTTTGAGACAAGTAAAAAAAATAAAAATTCACAAAAAGGTCAAAAAATGGTATGTTAGAGGCGATAACTTTTTCCACCGAATTTATGAAATAGCCGCTTCAGAAGGGGATATCCCATAAATTGTTCCTTTGATTGAAACCTTTATCTTTGATTTGAGCATTTAAAATTTGGCAAAATGAAAAAATTCAAAGCAATTAGATCAAAAAACCCTACTGAAACTTTCGAAGGCCTTAGAACGTGGGGTAAACTGAAAAGAGACTAGCGAAGTATAGAAGAGCAGCCAATTTTTCCATCGGTACCAATTTTTTGAAAATCAGTACAGTAGTTTTCGATAACATTGAAATGTGTCCTATTTCAACAGCCCTTTCTAGAAAAATAATAAAAAAATTTAGACATTTTATTTAAATAATTTTGGTCGGTATACTCTGGGCTATTAGCACAGCAACCGGATACCCTTGTTTATAAATTCTTATTACTTCTTTTACAAAAGTAGTGCAACTGAATTAGGTTACAAAACTGAAACTAAATTTCCTGTTACTTTTTTCTAGAAAAGACCTTTGAATTAAGACAAAATGCAAAATTATCGGTAGTTATGGCAAAACTTGCGAGAGCCACTGAATATTAATAAATTTTCCTGAAATAACTTGGCCGCATTTTTAGTCGTAATTCTTTTAAGTAATCTGCACGCACCTCCCAACTTAATCCACCGCACACACACACACACTAACGCACACTCACACTTCGTTCTGTGCCACGAACGCTTGAAGATCTCAAAACAAAAGCTACCTATAAACCAGAAATCAAATGCTATGAAACTTCCAATGCTACAGATCGTGATCATAGCGAAAAAGCTATCGAACCAAATAAGCACGTTTTTGCGACTTCGGTCGAAAAAAAAAACACTACGCTCGCATGTAAAATACCGATCGAATCACAACTAAAAGAACTTAAAATGGTATTTCACTAGACCCATCTGACGTTTATTTATAGCACTTGATTTTGCGTGGAAAAAATAAGCGTAATCAAAATTCCTCCCCACAGTCAATTTTCAGAACAAACCATCTACTTACCATTTGGACTACAGCAGTAAAAAGGTACAGATTGATGGCTTCAATTTGGAGGTTTTGATGCTCGACCACGACAGAGGAAACGAAACTCTAGCTAAGGAACTAAATATTGAAATACAAGGCCAAGGAGCGTCAAACAACTCAAAAACGCTTTAAAATTATCATGCAAATCAGCAGATTTTAGAAAAAAAAGTTTGAGGAGTGCTTACATTTGAATCTGACAATATACGTCTCGTCCAAGCTCGGAAGAAATTTTTAAACTCGTTCGAGTAGACAACGGCAGGACCTCCCACTTTGCACTCCAGTAACGTTCCAAACTTTTCTTTTCCGTCAAACATCTGCTTCGTCATTTGGGCATCAAGGTTATCCAAATGCGGTCTCATCTCTGTCAATTGCACATAGAACAAGTTAACACACTCGACGTGTGTGACAACTGCGGGGCAAGTTTTGGGGTGTTTGAAACTGAAGGGAGGAGGAGGCTTAGAACAGCTAGTTTCCTGATGTTCTGAAACTGTGCTATGAGACGAGATTCGGTCCGATGAACGAGGAGTGGCATGTTGCTCTAGTTCTAAAGGAGAAACATTTTTTTATGATTACTGTGACGCTAACAGAGACGATTTCAAATACCCGCAAGATCATTGAAAAATAACATTGTAGCTATAATTGCTATCTTAAATCGGCGCGGATCTACGTGCCAATAAAAATCCAGGTTGGTGAACGAAAAAGAGATGTGGATGTCGCCCTAAATCTGCTTCTATAAATTGTGATAGAGTATCACTCTTCGAAGTTGAGCTTAGATTACTCGGTTACATACTCATGTTGCAAGAGGCATATTTATGCAAAAAAAAAAACAATGTTAAAATGACCAGCTCGAACAAAAACAATCTCGAACAATACAAAAAACAATCTCGAACAAGCAACAATCTCCAGAAGCATTGGACGTTTCACTATTCAACACAGATGCGAAGCATAGGTTCGCACTACATGCGATACAAAAGAATTGTAAACATAAAAAATGAAAAACTTTGGAAAAACTAGGTGAACCAAAAATTTCTGATAACTCGATAAATGAGACCAGCTAAAGCTAGATGTACGTGTTTGATAATTTTCGAATTTTTTTAAACTGATGCGGTACGAAATGCATAATTTCAAAAATTAAATGAGAAGAGTGAGAGAACTTGGAAGAGTAGACATTCTTGCAGGAAAAATTTGCGCAAACGCTTCTTTCGACTGAATTTTTCATCTCAGATTTGATTCGGTATTTTTTAAGAAATTTGTATTTTTTCTGCTAAAAACAGTTCGTGGCCAAAGAAGTAGAGGAGAATCCCAGAATTGGGTTTCTCGATTGAACACTTAATCGATTGAAAATTGGCACGATGATTTTCGAGTAAAGTCACAAAACTTATAAAAAACGGTCGAAGTTTCAAAATTTGACATTTTCGAAAATCAAAGTTTCTTGTTTAAAATTTATCGCGTAACCACTTACGCAGAAGAGATTGGCCCGACCTTTAATATCGATTGAACCAAAAAAACCCATGATTGGCATGATATTTCTCAAGAACAGTCAAAAAGGGTCAGAAAGTCAAGCTTTTGACTTTTCCGAGGGCTATTATTTTTGAAGTAAAAAAATTGCCTCTTTCGAGGACGAAAACTGGTTGTTTACAAAAATGCGAGAGGACGCTAATACAGGAGAGCCTCCCACTTCTCGTTATCTCCACTGAACCCACAACCTCAGATTTGGGAGGTTAGTTTTTGAGAAGCCCAAAAAATAATTCAGAAAACGGTCAATCAAAAATTTCATAATTTTGAGGGCCACACTTTTATGTGCAAACAAAGTTTGGGCGTAGCCACTTATGGAGGGTAGCTTTCTAAATCCGCTCGATTCATTGCAACAAAACCCTCTGATTTGGTAGGTTAGTTTAAGAGAAAAGAAAAATATCGGTCAAATACTCCCCCACAGACTTTTTCGAAGGCTGTAGACAAAGTGGCGGGGTGACAAAGCAACATAAGACCAGGGGAATCTGCAAGAACACAAGGCTGTAGGTGGTCTTTCTATAGATACCCTTTTCAACGAAAAGTGATGAAACTTTCCAAAGCGTATTAAAAAAAGTTAATAAGAAACCCAAACATTTTCATGATACCTGTTTTTATTGAACAGGCACTCTCGGCAAACATGCCAAGCAAGACATCTGAAACTCAACTAGAAATTGAACAATTTTACCAAGCGGAAACAAGGCCGATAACCTTTGGACAGACACCAGTTGCTCCGAAAAAAAACTAATTTTGTAAAAAAAAAACGTTAAAAAGTTTCATGTCCCCATGAAACTACCCTGTAGAAACACCACCCACCCAGTAGTTCAAAGTAACTTAGTGATTCAACTAATTTTGTTAAACTAGTTCTTAACGTGAAAAAAAGTCTACATTCTAATTTGATAACGCTTGCTAATCGCAAGCGTTAAAATTTCAAGAAGTAAAAAAAAGTAAAACATTGACATCCTGAACGTACGATTTGGGTGCACGACTAAATGCTCACCCGTTGAAGCTGGTTTAACTTTCCTTCCTGATATGACTCGCTTCCCTTCTGCCTTGCAGAATTGATCCGTTTGTTCAAAAGATGCAGACTTCGGCTTATAAGCAGTTTCTAAGAGTTCCAAGAACTCGAGACCTTCGGTTATGTTTAGGTCTGCTAAGGATGGCAGATCACAAATGCTTACTTCCGCTTTCGAATTAGCTGGACAGGCTTTCAGTTCCTTAAAACTCATCAGCTTAAGTGGGCTGCTTGTTTCTGCTTCACCCACATTGGTAACCTCTGGACCATCTTTTTCAAACATTTCTTGGCAATGTAAGGAAAGTTCTGTTAAATAATTCGACATTCTGGTAATTTTTTGGTCCAAACTAAACGAAAGATTTTTAGTCTCCTCATAATTTACTAAAGACTGCAAACATTCAAGGTCTTTAGTACAAGTTTCAATAAAAGAAGAACATATAAAGCTAATTTCATTGATTGCTCGAATCTTCAATGTCTCCAATTTAGCCAACTTGCACGTCGCCTCCTTTTTCATCTCTTCAGTAATGCACTTCTTCCTTTGCGCTGCATTCATGTTAATGCAAACTAACAAATTGAAATCATTAAGTGATTTTTGCAATAAACATAATCGTTGAACATCAAGTTTCTGAAACCAATTTTTACCTATTTTTATTTTCTGTTTCATCATTGTGAACGTACTAATTGATGACCACGGCGCTTGAGAAAATTCAGCTGCATGATTCCCAACGCACGTTTTAGTTACCCAAAAATCCACATAATAGAACCCTTTTAATCATAAATTATATAAATTTTAAAAACATTCGATAGCAGTCTTCGATTTCTTCAAGCAATAAGTTAAACGATTTTCATGATACAACTATCTTTTTTCTCTACCACAGTCAGCAATAAAAGTTTACTATGACAATCCGAAAAAAATCATATTATTACTATGAAATTTTACAAATTCTAAAGAAAAAAAAAACAATTCAAATCTAAGCGTCGGGCTATTCGGTTTAAGCCAATTTTTTCATTGTTAAGAAAATATTCGAAATCTCACAAATGATGAAAAGCTGCACTCTGCAGTTACAAACTAAATGAACCAGCAAAATTGAGGTTTTAAACAGCATATGATAGTCCTAGAAAGCACAAGACTTAACTGAAACTTTCACATCGGCCCACCAGTCTGCTTTCACAGGTGTCTTACTCTTAAATGCCAGGCTCAGGCAATATTGAATGCCCTTTGATTGAGTGATTAAAACAAATTCTATTAAATTTACCAATAGAATTAGAGGTGCAAACAGATACTGGACCCGCGCAAGAAAAATCTCGATACAAAACTTTTTCTCTTAACACGTTAAATTTAAACTTTTTTGTTTATAATTAGTATTTTTACTTCCGTAATCTCAACCAAAAAACCGAACCGTATATCTTAGCAAATGATCGTCACAACAAAATCCTAAAAACTATCAGGTTTTTTATCACCGCTCAAACCGGTTTCAAAAAAATTTCTGGGAATGTATGATGTGTTTGCACGCTTAACAATTAGTGAAATCACTTTTTTATATAACTGTAGCAGTTTATTTGCCATCAAATTTCGGAAATGTATCCTTTATCCTTTTTGTCATACTCCCATATAAAATTACGTCCGATAACCATTTATTAAAACAAAAGAAGAAATGTGTTTTTCATTTCTCAAAGGCAAATACTGGATTCGTTGAAATTATAACAGGAATCCAGAGCTCGTTAAGTTTCATTCCAAGCTGAATTCGTTCGAGCTCTCATCTGTTGCATTAAGCTTATCAATGTGATGATCTTTTGGGGGGAAATCCAAACGCCTAAGTTGAGGGTGCATTTCGCCAGAACAAGCGATAAAAATTGATTGGCCGAATGAAATACTGATTCAAAATTTCTCAATATGAATTTTCAAAAAAAAAAACAATACCCTAGAAAGAATCAAAACACGAAAAATCGATTAACTAAGCGGAAAAAAGTAGGCTCACGATAGTTCGAAATGGTATTTGCATACAATTTTCCAGGGAATAAAAAATACGAGTCTCGCTCAGATTCGAACAACAGGCTTGCATGGTCTAAGCACGGCCATTTCCTCTAGACTAAATGTGCGGAGAGCGCCATAGCACTTTAATTACACTGAAGCAGACTGTCTCTCAAAAAACAATTAAATTAAAATCTAAGCAGTATAAAAATGCATCAACTCAAATCAAAAATGAATCAAAGTAAGTTACTTTTATTAAAAATTTATTTAAAAATTAAGCCTCCCTTCCTCAAAAATGGTACCTGTACCTGGCAATGAACAAAGAGGTGGACCGAACGTGATCCGGGTATGCAGAGCACGGATATACACAATAGAGCAAAACTTAATTTCACGCGGATGTATGTAAGTGATGACGTCTGCGTAGCTGTCGTACTTTTTGGCTAATTTTGTCAGCTAGTCTTTTAATAACACGCACGGACCATTGTCCTGCCCCTACTATACAGGCCAAAATTAGAGCGTTAAAGCTAGCATTCTCGACATCAAAGATTCGTTGCTCGTATTTCAGCTTCACGTCAAAGTAGCTTTTACTGAACCGGAAATCTCATAATTCATTAGCTTTGTTACCCAATCTTATTCATCTTCAATGCTAGCAGATTTGTAAGTATAGGCTTCGCCTTCTAGCGCTTGAAGATGTGACTCAATTTAGACATCGTACTACATTTCGTTCATTAAAACAGCAAAAACATCTCGTATCTCATTATGCCTGATGTGAGCATATCCACCTTTTGGCAATGTAAAGCATGACTACCAGTAGTAAGCTCACCGCATGTGAACGTCCGCGGAAGGTTACTTGATTCCCACCCATATCTTGGTGTAATTCCATCTCTGAACTCTGCCTTTTTTAAACTTTGTTAAACTTAAATTATATCGCTTCAGCGGTAATGCGTTGAGCTAGCTAGATGAACCTTTTTCTGATGCTAATTTCAAGGAGTAATTTTCACTTTCTGACAAACTATTTTACTTCGACTAAATTTGATTTGTTTTTGTGTTGCTTTTCTTTTCTAATAGTGGTTGCAATATGTTCCTGTTGTTAGTCAATGTTTTTGACTTCTTCACTTTCACCAAAAGGAGTGGACATTTTCGTTTGTTTGGTCTTCTGGTAAATTCAGGTTCAACTTTGCTCTCGGTATCCTCAAAAAAAAGGAAAAGTGTTGAGAGATTTCCGAGCAACGAAACTTGATTTTTGTTGTACAGCATTGGTAACGGACTTGTAAACGTTTTGAGAAAATTTTGCACCAGTCAATTTTTTAAGCAGCTTAACGTGCTTTGCGGTTTTGTCCAGCACGAATTGCTTAAAAAACAAACTATCGCCTATAACTGAGTCAAGGACCCGGTGCCCATCGACAATTTCGACTGTTTCATCTTTGAATATTTCTTTTGCTTTTATTAAAAATCAGTTTTCATTATCCATTGGCTCTTCGTTACGTGGTAACCCAAGGCTCGTCCACATTTTTTTATATCATCCAGAAATTGTTTCAATTCCTCTATACTACCTGTAGCATAATCATCTTTGAGTACGCTTTACGAGCGAGTTTATTTTCATTAATGGGGTTATAACGATACCGTACATGGACATAGCTAATGAATCACCTAGGGTTGTACCTTCTTCAGACAAACTTGTCTTTTTATAAGGCAATAAGCAACATACCATGAGTTTCGCTTCTCGAGTAGTTATCTCTAAGTGAGTCAATGGCATACTCGATTCCGCATTTTTGTCCGAGAAATAATTGTGCAATTCCTCGTATAAGTTTCGCATCTGGTTTGATCATCTTTACAATGGGTCTTCCAATGATTCTTCTAATGACTTTTCCAATCACAATTAGCCGCACACCAGGGTTTTTATGGAGAGCAAGGATTCGACAGGATTTGTAAGGTTCTAGAAGGCGGGATTGACAGATCTTGGGTCTGGTTGTTTCTCCCTAAATAATTGAAGAACAGATTTACCATCTATCTTATCAATGGTTGAAATTTCACCTTTTGAACCATCACGTAGCCTTTAAAGGGCGCTCGAAATTTTTTCTGTGGTCATAAGCTTGTCAAACTTAACGGCCTGTTTAGGCTAAGGTAATCATTCTTGAAGGGCCTTCGCTTGTTCAAAGAGTGAATCAAAGTCGCATTTGATCCATTGAACAAGCTTCCTTGCGATGATTTTTGTCACTGTTCCATCATGACCGTTTATAGTTCTAGCTAAAACACGAGATGTGGCAACACCATGATTGCTTTCAATGGGGTCGAGGAATCTCTGTCAGTAAGTGTTGCTGAGGATTTTATTCAACATTTCAATATGTTGTAATTTTTTGTCAAGGTGGTTGCTTTAGAGTCGCTCATCCAGAAGTTCAGTGGATCTGGCTTTGGGGGCTCTGGTGTTTCAAATTCTTCTTGGGAACAGGGTATTGGGGGGCCGTCTCTGCTTGTGTTTGCTGCAATTCTGTGGATTTTTGGCAGGCGAAGTTTTTCGAGTGTTCTTTCTTAGTTGTCAGTCCGCTACACTTCGTACATTTAAGACGCACAAGCGTAACACCATACACCACCACCTTTTAGATGAATAGTTCAAATGGGTTTCGGTTAATCCCAATGAGAAAACAAGTGAGATTTGTCACATATTAATAGTGTATTGAATTAAGAGAAAGAATAGTTACCATAATATGAGAAATGAATACACTCTTTACAAAACATAGAACTTCCGAAATAAAAAAAAATGGGAATAATAATTCTACCATGAAAGACATTAATTAAGGAGCGAACTGAAGAAATGAAAAATCTTTAAGTTCAAATAGAGCACCTTTCTATTAATTATATGATTGTTTGAGGTAGAGCGATTATTTTAGGGACAATCATGGATGTGGGTTGAAATTTATAAATGACGAGTTCAATTAAACATTGATAATTTTCAACAAAAGAGACACAATTCGCCAAGTGGCCGTAAAATCCGGAAATTATAGCAACGGTATCAATGTTTAGCGGATGAGAATGCTGTATAGCATCAGTGAGGTCACGAAGAAAAGCTCCACGATAGAAAAATTTAGAGCTAAGCCAACGTCTTTTTCATCGATGTAATTCGTCCGGGAGGTGCATATTACTAATTTCTTTGCAAACCATTAAGGACAATCGCTTTGAACTTTGCCAGGATCTGCTTGAAATTTGAGATGTCCGCTTCCCTCACCAACCAGTGCTTCGTCACTCACCTACGCCTGGGAGGGCGAGATTTTTGTTTTTTGAACAAGGGATACGATAAGGCCCTGCGCGCATTCAATTTGCAAATTCAACGGAGGTAAATTTGAAATAAACTATTGAATTCGTTCACCGCAACAACTAAACTAAGCTAACTGCATCTCAAAAGCGAATGCTGTGAAATTTTTTGAGCAATAAAACTTCTGGCATCCGGTCGTAATATTCTTGCTAAGAATCTATATTCAAAAAAATTTTCCTTGGTTGCCTTGGATTTTTTTTAAATTTTTTTTTGTTATTGTTTTTTTTAAAAAGCGCAAAATGAAGCTTCATAAGTTAGTTCATAACTATCTAAGCGTTTGTGTACTTCTCCTATCACACCACGCACAAAAACGACACTTATTTGAAAAGGGGGAAAAAATTCTGATTTTTTAAAATGTGATCAGAACATTATGTGCTACTTGGACAGCACCCGGCTATCCTTGGTAACCATCGTCTTCTTTAACCCTTGATTAAAAATTTCTAATTATTTCCAAACGAAGTTTATATAAACAGACAGTTGGAACTCACAGAAAATCATAAAACTAATGATAAATTTGAAAAATTTTCAGAGAACATACAAGGCCCTAACGCTCTTTGTATTTTAAGATTCAAAAATATATACTCTTTCAACACTCTATGATTGACTCTTTTTTGATAAAATCAACTCAATTTGAAAAAACTGGACCAATAGGTAACTTTTTTCATTCTGATGAGAATTCTGAAAAATCCAAAATTAAAATTCCAAAAAAATAGATGGCCGTAAAGCTGTTAGAATTTCTGGAACTTCTAAATGACACTTTAGTGATAACATTAACTCAATTTGAGAAAACTGGATCAAAAGGGAAAACTTTTGTTTCGCTGGGAAACCTGCTAATTAAATTCCATTTTCGAAATTAAAGTCGATTACGTGTTTAATGACCTTTAAACTTTCGCAGTTCAATAGTGGAGCTTGCCTTCCTTTTAACAAAGGAAATAAACTGAACTTGCTAAAAACTCAAAAGTAAAACCGCGAAAAAATAGAGCCCGAACAAAATTCTAGACCTTTCCGGAAAAAATCATCGCGAACTAGAAATGAAATGAAAATTCCATAAGAAAACATCAAATTTGAGCGTGAACTAACTTTTTGACGTTTTCCTAAAAAAATTTCATGAGCAAATTCAATGTCTTCACTTAGTTCATTGAAACTTACTAAGCTTTCGAAGCATCATTTAATTTTGAATTGAAACAGAGTGAACATTTCTACAAATAATAATGGCAAGATTCAAACTTGAGATATAACTAAGTAACACAAAATTTGAAAAATAGGCTTTGCTTCATTGAAAACAGACATCGAAAACTCCCGTTACTCATTTTCATATTCCTGATCTGATGCCCTTTTTACCGCTTTTACAACGCTTATAACGGGCAGCCAAGGCGGAAAATGTCATATGTCGAAATCTTCCTCGTCCACTTCGGCTGTCTGGGGCTTGTGCTTTGCGGGCGTTGGTTGCAGATTCATAGATTCCAACTCGTGTTGATATTTCATTACTTCTTCATCTTCTAGCTCCATTTCCTTTCTGGCCTACAGCGAGACGTTTATTTACCGTTCAATCTTGAGAAAATCAATCTTGAGAAAAAAGTATTTATCATTTTCAAAAAAACGTACCTTATTTTATGCTAATTCATCTTTACTTTTTACTGTTCACCCTCTTTGTTAAATATTATGGATCTTTCTACTTATTCCACCCAAACTCACAAATGAAATATGAAAACAAAACAAAAATTCTCGAATCTGATTGGCTGAAATTGAAAATTTATCTGAAGCATAATTTGAAAAACGCGTTCAAAACGGCAGTGCGGTTGATGAGCGACATAATTCGAAAGGCCTCATATTATTACTTATTTTAACTAGAAAAAAATTATATTACCTGAAATTTTCAAAAAAATTAATCTTTTTTTATCAGATAGATAATATGAACCTTTTCGAAAAGAGCTTCTTGCTGCCTCAGCAACTCCTCTTCGGATATCCCCAAAGATTCCAATTTTTTAGACTTCTTCCGCTTTCTGTTATCTTCTCGAGCTGTTTTAGACTTTTCTGCGATACCTCTGCATTCCTGGGCTAAATCAGCGAAACCAGAGTCTTTGAGGGCACTGAAAACATTTCCTGACGTCATTGTCTTTTTCATACTATGAGTTAAAGCTTTGTCTGTAATCTGACGAATGAAAATAGCACCATACGTAGCCAGCGCATCTCGTGCTTCGTTCGTGATACGAGGTGTGGACTCACTATTACTGGATTTCTTGGACTCTGCGACTACTGATTTTACAAGTTGGTTAATTGCACTTTTTGAAAGTGCATTTTTCTCTTCTGAAGGTCGCGGCTGCGATTCAACGTTGTTGATGTTGTTTTCTTCACTATCACTGTCTTCGCTCATCCACGAAGATCTGAAATATCCCACTTTTCTCATCGGAATTCTATGACTTTTTTCAGTTGGGCTCATTCGCCGTTCTTTCGCCTACCAAAAATTTACCCTTCTTGAAACTATAGTTCACGTGATTCAAACGCTATAGAAATTATCAGAATTGATTTTTACGAAATTTTTTTACTCAATATTGGCTCGATAATTTGGTTCACTTTTATTGAATGGGCTAGAAATTATTAAATAGCCCTACTATGATTTCCTTAACCTATAAATATTTTTGTGCGACTGTTTTAATTTATGCTGTCCAAATCTGTTAGTTTCTGGAGCAAACGCAATTTTTTATTAGGGCTCAAAATTACAAAAAAGCAGAAAATCGATATTCAAGTTTCATTGGTTCAAGCTTCATATTTCAACACAGAGGCGATGCAATGCTTCGCACCAGTTGCGATACAGTAATGACCGAGAATGTCAGAGACAACCGAAAGCCACCAGTCAAACTAGAAAAAAATGACAAAGCATTAAATCACCCACAACTTCCATACGTCTCAAAAAACTCGAATGAAAACCTGTTGCAGAACACGGTTTGCCAACATCAAATAAACATTAAGACAAAACAACTCGAAAATTAACTATGCATACAAAACTTGGTGGTTGGCGTTTTTTCGCCACAAGAACAAGTCGATCCGCTCGCGATGCATTCTCCGAGCAACAAGCGAGAAAGGTCTTCATCACAATTTTCTCCTGGTAGAGCTAAATTTTAAACTGACCGTAATTTTTGATGCGGTTTTTTATGGTGACTGTGTGCTCAAGCTCGGGAAAAATCATAAGTGGAAGTGGCCCGAGGAAACCATTCCCTGAGAGATAATCATCTTTTTTTTTCGGGGAAAAGTGGGAATTAGGAAGAAAAACGGAGATTATTTGAATAACTCTTTTAATTTTTGTTAAACGTCTACCATAGCCGAGCGTATATATTTTGGTCCCAAAGGCCGGATGGACATGTTCAAATCCCGATCGGAGACAAAAAATATTTTTCAGAATTGAAGTAGTTTAAATTATTTTATTTTTATTACAAAAATTCGGTGGTCGAGCGTATCTGTCGTGCACTCTTAAACTGAGTAGTCAGGTTCAAACCTCCATCCCTGAGATATTGTTTTTGATTTTTTGCACAATTACCAAACATATGTTCACTTTGATCAGAATTTAAACATACATATCTCCTAAACTAAAAAAAGATAACACCTGTGGTTTTCAGCGATATCACTTATTTGATCAGTTGTTTCAAATAAGACTAAATTTTAGGCTGCTCAGTTTGATTTATAGAAATGGATTTTTTTTTTTCGTTTTACTCCTCTCTGTTATTTAAATGATTTTATATCCTTTCATAATATATCTCTTCCATTGTCTTCACTGCCTTCAGCTGTGGCTATACCAGTAACTGCCAGTGAAATGATAAAAAATTGTTCAATTAAACAGAGGAGCGAGTTCGAGCCTCAGATACTACAGTTTCAGAATTTTTTACACTGTTTTTACTTTGATCGACTTGAACTTATTGAAAATTTGTTTAAAAAAATTATGTGATTTATTTCAAGGGATTGAATTTGCACTAATGTATCAGGCTGTTTCGCGTCCACGCAGGGACTTGAGCGGAACAGCCTTTCAGACAACTTTTAATTGAGATAATGTCTTCAAATGCTCTTGTGTTTGTTCGGTAGTTAAAAATTCGCCATTTTTTCAAACAATTGTATCGTGGTTGGCACAGGTATTAGCTCGGGTGATTGGTGAGCAGTGCCTCAGGTTTCTAATCCAGGAGGGAGCTTGAAAGAGAAGTCACAAAAGGAACACTGACTGAAGATAGTTACTGACCGACTGCAAATAGCAATTAACCAAGAACCCTGACTGCGCCTCATGCCCTGACCCCCTGGGTGTTTGGCATTTTTTCGCCACCGGGGCAAGGCGAGCCGCTCGCAACGCGAGCGCAAGCACATATACCATTCTCCGACCAACAAGCGAGGAAGGTCTTTATTAACAAGTGCTCAGGGTATAGCTCACTTTTGAACTGACCATAATTTTTAGATGCTGTTTTTTCCATGGTGCCTGTGTGTCCAAGCTAGTAAAAAGTCATTAGTGGAAGTGGTCTGTGAATAGTATTCGCTGGGAGAAAATCCACTTTTTTCAAGTAAAAAAAACGGGAAAATGAACGTAGATTGACTTTTGAAAATTTTTAAGGTTTTCATTTTAACTTCCACCATAGCGGAGCGTATACACTTTGGTCCAACACTCCGGATGGCCCGGTTACATTTCAAAAATTTCACGAGACAAAAATTTCACTTTATTTTTTCTTTGTCGCGTAAACCGTATTATTCCAAATTTTCACATTGTGGAAACTGATAGCTAAAACAGATTTTTTTTTGTTAGAAATCAGCGTCGAGGACCAAGCGTCTCTGGCTGTATTTCTCATTCAGGGGAGACCAAGTGCGATGTCCGTATTGGATCAAAAAGTTTCGATTTTCGTGTCATGTCTTCAGTTAAAGACGGAACTAAACTTTCATAAATACTGGAGTAGGAAAGTCACTGGAAGTCCTTATTTATCAAGCTGATTGCCCTGGCCAGAAAAATGGGTTAGTATAAGATCATTAAAAAAAAATTCTTCGATGGTCTCAATCCTCAATTTTATTTCCGATTAAAACAGATCAATTTTGTTGCCTTCACTTATGACCCAAATAGTCAATAGCAGTGAGTTATAGTGCAATGGTAAAAAAAACTGACCATAAAAAACAGAATCGTCACATGAGTACTCGGATCAGACCAAATGTGTTTTTTATTGATTTTATCTTTGATCGATTTGAAAGTTTTTAGCCATCTTGATTTAAACAACCGAACTATCTTGGAAGTGGAAGAAATTGCAAAGACGATCTGCTAAGAAGCAGGAATGGATGATACATTTCATATAATGCATATGTAACGATTTTTAAAATGTTACCAAGAAAATGGAGTGGGTCAAAAGTTGTTTTTCTTTACGTTTGAAAGGTTACTTCAATAATTGATTTTTTCCTGTTCACATTGACTCGGAGTTAGACAAGCATATACGACTGTGCCTCCTAGTCACAAAAAGACAGATTGAAGAACCTAATTTTTTCAGTCACTTTTTTATGTCTTTAAAAAAAGAAGAACATGCCCATACCACTTGAAGTTGAAAAGATAAATACAAGCCGTCTTCTTTGACATTCGCCATTTACGAATTACAACGCCTTAAGCAAAAGATTGGGGTGATAGCTGCTTCTTGAAGACAAAAAAATTTACTTTTTCATCTCCTTCGTCATTTTCATGAGTGTGTTCATTACATTTCATATCGCTTTCATTTTTGTAGCAAATGAGCATTCTAAAGTTCAGCGACAAAACAATTCATCAAAACACCAACAATCAGCATTTCGAGACTCGGGTAAGACCACAACTTTTCGTTCGTTACTTTGAGCTTCGATCGATTTGACTGCTTTTTTTTCTTCAATGAAAATGCTTGAACTATGTTTCAAATGCATCAAACATTTTTGAGAAGTCAGTACTTGTAGAGGACAATCTGCTAATGAACAGGAATGAGCCAGAAAATAATCATTCCTTTTGCTAAGCTTTCTGGATGAAATAAAGTATACTTATCTGTCTAACCTCCGGGCTATTAATTGTTTTCAGAAAAATCTTGTCCATTCGGGTGATTGCGGGTTTCGAACTCTTGAGCTGCATGTCATCAGTATACTGAGTTACCATTTGAGCCACCAGATCTTTGTTGATGACAATTATCGTAGTCAACGTGAATGCAACATCACGTGAGAGAAAAAAAACAAAGGACTTCTCTCAGTGTTTCTGCTATTTAAATTTAACTGCCGTTAGATCGCCTTATTTAGTTGTTTAGCAGCAACCATGTTTTCTTTCTTTATACGTCAAATTTTAGTTTCCCTTTATTTATTTAATGTTCTGTGTCTTTCATTGTTCACATTTCATTTGACCAAATTACTTGGAGCGGGACGGCAGCAGATATTGAAGACCAAAAATATTGTTTTCATTGGATAGATATGGAAATGACCTCGAAATGTCCGTTAACTAATGTGTATTGTTAAAGATACAGTTTCCGCTATCTCGATTTGTCAAAACATTTCAAACTAAAGGTCACATATTTGGTTTTTTCTTGTTCGGAACATGGAGGCAGCCTCACTACTAAATGTAGCCGCATTTTCTCACCCGCTCAATCGAGTAACCCTGCTGAATACCCATCTATTGGGAGGATTTAGAAAAAAATAATAAATGTAAAAAAATCATCGTTCAAAATGAGTCACTAATTGTATAAGGAACGTTCAAATGCTTTTTCAAATTCTGTTTTCCACAGGTGCATGTTGTCTGTAAAACCTGACGCTTAATGCGCACTACTTTGCTCAGTTCCACTTTCACCAAATACTCCAACATTTTCAGCGTAAAATATGCCTTTACTGCCTCCTCACCTTAATCATCAGCAAGCTTGTGCAGTTGTACAATTGAACTTCTTCGACATCAGCTTTCAAGACATGGCTGCATGAGAGGATACTTAAGACAGGAGGGTCAAGTTATTCGTCATTCACGGGAGGCGTCCTCTTGAGCCCATTATGTTCAGAAATTGGACGAAGTCAGTAGCTCCCGCGAAACTAACTCTTTTCCAGCAGGACACCTACGCGTGATTTGTCGCGTGAACTGTACTAATCAAACTCGTCACATTGTGGAAATTGATAGCGAAAACAGAATTTTTTTGTTAGAAATCAGCGTCGATGGCCAAGCGTCTCAGGCTGTGTTTCTCATTCAGGGGAGACCCTGTACGATGCCCGTAATGGATAAAAAAAGTTTTGATTTTCGTGTCATGCCTTCAGCTAAAGACGGAACTAAACTTTCATCACTACTGGAATTCCTTATTTATCAAGCTGATTGCCCTGGCAGGAAAAATGGAATAGTATAAGATGATTAGAGAAAACTTATTTTTTCCCTCATTGGTCTCAATCCTCA